ATGAATTTCTTGCTCTTCTTCTTACTTAATTGGCTACTAACTAGCCGAGAGAGATACTTGATGCATGCGAAATGTCCTGGGATTGTACTGTTTTGATGATTCTCCAAATACAGCAAGTTGGCATGGCGGTTCTTCTTCTCGCTAGTCAGATATAGTGGTGCAATCAGATAATGATGATCTTCAATACCTTATACGTTAATGGAAACGTCATTCAGTCTCTCAAACAATCGGATTTGATTGAGAGAGATTGGAAAGTCGATGTTGCCAAAATTTAACACGGTGTTGTAACGAGGATATGACGAGGGTCGCTCTGTGTGTCTCGCAACGGGATAGAGAGCCGCTACTACTGCCCACGCATACCATGCATTGTCTCCAGATTCGATAGTGATTGTTGCCCTCTTGTACCGGATGTTTTGCGGTATTTTAAAGTAGCACCCTGCGTGCATGGGATTATATTTATTTACATTGATAGTCAGATCCAATATTTGTTGTAATGCCCAACCGCTATCGCGTTCTTGAAATTCCTCCAAACTCGACAATATCGTATCGACAACAGATCGATTGTACCACTCTTGCAGATCAGACATTTGGAATAACTCCACGTTTTTAGTGTTCACACATTTGTTAGCGTGTTTGTTATTTGCCACGAATCGGCCGTTGAACACACCGTTCACTTTCAGCGCTCCGTGTTTTTCAAGAGCCGTTTGTACGTGCTGCAGCACCACATCTTTCGCATCTTCAAGAAAATTTCGAGGCTCGATATACGTGACATTTATAACTGCGCCAGTAAGTACACGACTATCAAATGCTGTTTCTATCTCTTGCCAGAAAAATCCTTTAACTGAGTGTCCGGCATCCTCATATACAAATCGTCTTCATACCGAATATTTAAGTCCCTCTAGCCGGGCGATTCGAGCTATAATCGATGATCTAATACCGATCGATAATCGAGGCTGCTTTATTCGACCATTTTCTGTCATCGATTCGATAAGTTCACGTAACGCTGAAACTCGCATTCTTAATTCTTATATTTCTAATTTTCTCCATAATAATGACTCCTATATATTTATATCCTTTTAACACGTTGAGCGACACGTCAGCCATCGGTGGCTGACACTAGACTTTCCGTTTAGGCCGCGTCAGCCACCAGTGGCTGACACCGCGTGTTTCAGCGTATCTAAGCGGAGCGCGTGGCTTGACGGGCACTTACTTAAAAATCAGCGTGACGCTCAACGTGTTAAATAACCTATTACAACTTTATTCACTGGACTAGAGACACCATACACTTTAGCCTTTTGTAACTCGCGCCAACCGATGCAATTCCGCATCATGGCTATTCCAACCAATAATATTACGACATGCTTACGATTGGTTTATATGTTCCAATAGGAGCTATTTCATCTACTGCGCAGGCGCCCCTCCTGCTAATAGGTTTTACGATATGACCTAGAATCTATGACACCAATAACATTACCCTGGCATCGTGATTGGCTGGTTCCAACCTATCGAAGCATTACGAATACGATGCGCACTAGTTTGCCGCAAACGCGCGACATAACCTAAAAATATTACCTCTATACGCGTGGCTATCGATAGTGAGTGACGCTCTTGACTTTTACTGTTATTTTGCTCTCTGAGTTGGTTTATTTCGCCAGTTCAATTATATAATTCATTCATTATTCCCAATTATTATTCTCAGGAATATTTCTGTGCTCTTAAGGATAAATATAAAATCTCGGCGTGTTACTTCCATCTAACTGTGCGACATAACCTAAAACAATGTGGCACCTTTTCATCTTATCTTCAATCTACATCGTGTAAGTCAACTCCAAATTTTAATTAACTTTAGTTATTAAAACATTGTGTATCATATATTTACGGATCATTGTAACATTCTTATAATTGGAAGGTACCGTGATATGTCAGTGCAAAGTACTGTGCAGTTAAATCGCATTTCCCTATTGAACATTTGGCTATTCTCAGTAACACAGAAACTTGCATTCTTAATTCTTATATTTCCAATCTTTTCCATAATAATGATTCCTTTATATTAATATCTATCTAAATAATCCATTATAACTTTACTCATTGGACTAGAGATACCATACGTGTTAAGTCTTTTGTAACTCGCGCCAGCTTATGCAATTTCGCATCATGGCTATTTTAGCCAATAATATTACGACATGCTTGCGATTGGCTTATATGAGCCAATAGGAGCTATCTCCTCTACTACGCAGGCGTTCTCTCTGCTAATTTGCTACACGAAATGACGTTGAATCTATGAAACCAATAACATGACCCTGGTATTGTGACTGGCTGGTTCCAGCCTATCAATGCATCTTGAATACGATGCTCACTAGTGTGCTGTAAATGCGCGACATAACCTTAAATTACTACTCATATATTTGTTGTTATCAATTGCGAGTTACGCTCTTGACTTCCGCTGTTATTCGCTTTCTGAGCTGGTTTGCTCTACCTGCTCAATCCTATAATTCATCCACTATTTCCAACTACTATCTTCGAAATGTTGAGTGATGTCAAGATTTTATTCTTGTTTTATTTTGCTTTAATATGAATGGTTTGTACCTCGATATATCTGTCCATGGTCTTGTGTGTTCATTAATGAATGACTGGCTGTCAAGTCTAATTTCCTAACGATCTACTTA